AGCCCTTAATCCGGCATGGCCGTCCGGGGTGCTATAGGCCCGGCAAAAACTGCAATTTAAGACTGACTTAAGGTTTCGAATTAAAATGAAAGGTCGCGTTAAGGAAGCGAGGATGGGCTCAGATGTTAGAGACGGTATTTGATTGGGTACGAAGTTGGGAAGTTGGAGTTGAAGATGTAGGGTGGCGTTTTTGGTAAAGTTTTAATATTTTAGTGTAGGGTTTAACAGGTGATACCTATAACTAGTTCTCAAGAGAATTTTCCGATATTATAGCAATCGATTAATACCTTCTTGTTTGTTTCTTAATAGCCTTCCAGAAGATTTCAAGTAGCCTGTCAGAACATTTCAGTATCATTAAGAATGCAGATTGTTCGGCTCATCACCAAACTTCTTTGATACCATAAGTAGTAGAGTTATAGTCATTGCATATTACAATTTATTATTAGCTCTCAGCGTGGGACGTCCGCCCACAAGGTGGACCGACGACCTGATAAAAGTAGCCTGATAAAGGTAGCTACCAACCGTGCGATGTGGATGTCATTGAGGGAGGCCTATGTTCAGCAGTGGCTGTCCTGTGGCTGAAATGATGATGATGATGATGATTAGCACTACTTAAATAAAGTAAATAAATATAGGTTTAGAAATATTTTATTATAGTTATTGATTTGTTTAAATTTACGTGATACCAGTAATATTATTATTCAATTCACTGCCCGTCTATGCAAATGCATCTCCCAGCGGCCGGCGCGTTAGGCCCACAATAGTACCTGATTGTGATGCCTGGATCTAGATGCATTGTTCTGTTTAAGGACATTCAGGAAGTAGATCAGTATGCAAATATGGTGCGCTTTAGAAATTGTGGATATGTTGAGAAATATTAATTATTGAGTTTATGAGAGTATGACTGGTAGACACGGTGAACTACGTTGGTAGAGAGCTCTGTAAGTTAAACGTAAATTATAAATTCGTCTTATTCGGTAGTTATAGTACGTTAGTTATAGTAGTAGTGTTGGAAGAAAGACAAAATAATGTGTCGAAATACTATAGCTAGTGTACTTAATTGACACACACACACACATGGGCAGCTAAGATGTCTTATAAAAGTGGAATAAGAGCTGATTTAATTGAAAATGCAAATAATAAGCTGGGTGATAAAGAATCGTGACTGATTGCCTGATCGTTTTATACAGCATTACTGAAATTCCGAGTAGCTATAGCGTATTGACTATTCAAGTTAAATAAATACAAATGTCCTGTTGAGGAAGATGTTGACTCAAAGATCGATATCCAGACCGCGAAGAGATAGGTCGTAGTTTTGCTTTAGTTGCATTGTTATCAAAGCTATTCTAATCGCACAGTGTTCACAACTACTAGGTGTCTAAACTTTTTAATTATAAAAAAATATTAATGAACTAAATTGCACAAATAATCCTGGCTTCTTAGACATGAAATTCCTCGCCCGTTATCTTATTATAAGAACTTACGAGTCAGTAAATTGATCATGTCTCAAGCTATGCCTTGGTACTTGGCTGAGAGTGGGCGGGGCCAAGAGTGGGCGTGGCGAGGCTCGGCCCTCTGAGACCTCCCAGCGCGGAGTCCCGAGAGGAGTTCTGAGTTGTTGTTGCTGAAACTCTGCATTAGTTATTGTTGATGTATTATATTTGGCTATAAATATGGTAATATAAAATGTTAAAAGAGGATAATGATTTGGAACGTCTCTCTATCATACAAATTTAATGACCAGACTTATGTACCTGTGATTTCACAATAAACACAATTTGAATTTGAATTTGAATTTGAACGTACTGCGTGCTTTTAAGAAAAACAGAATGGCTGAAATATCTAATCAATGAAAGATAAAAACGGCTGAACTGCGATGACTTGTCGAGTCGAAGAATAACGGTGCGATGTCTTAGGATTACATGTCCTGTAATTAACAAAGTGTATTTATATATTCGTAAAGTTGTTCCTAGTAGATTAATCTTCTTAATTATCTAATACTCACAAAAAATTCGACGAAAGACGATATCAAATATGAATGCACAGGATTGAACCTTCTTCGTTGAATGGTACTAGTATTTCGAATTTAATGTCTCTACTTTTCCAACCTTAACTTTGGTACCTTTGCATGATGCTCACAAAAGAGAGTTTGAAAACAAAACGTAATAATTTCGAAAGGACTTAAAAACTAAAATTTAAAAATTACTAATGATAAAAACTATTTACAAAATAAAAAATACTTCATCCCCAGCGCCGCAGTCAGGAATGGTGCCCAAAAGGCTGGCAGCATTGCCACGTTGAATGGCCAGGCTAATTCTCTGACCGAAATAGCTGCTTTCGAAAGTGATTTGCTTATAGTTAAAATACCTTAACGTAGGCCCTTGGTCCGTCGTCATCATCATCATCTCAGCCATAGGACGTCCACTGCTGAACATAGGCCTCCACAATGCTGTCCATGTTACCCGGTTGGCAGCGGCCTGCGTCCAGCGCTTTCCTGCTACCTTTATGATGTCGTCGGTCCACCTTGTGGGTGGACGCCCCACGCTGCCCGTCGGTTATTCGTTTATTCTTAGCCAAATATCAAGGATTTCCTCAACGACCACTACTACCAGTCCTGCGCTGCATGCATTCCCTTCCGTCGGTTATTAATATCACCTTAATTACTAAAAAGTTATATTTTGTAAGTAGAAACAATGGCAGGTACTTCCAAAGACTAAGGAAGATATTGTCTTTCATAATGGAAGATATTCGTGTAATTTTACAAAGGTGATTAAACGCTTTTTGCCTATTTTGTGAAAATTTGAGTAAAGGTGATTAAGATAGCTGAAAACGTAGTAATTTATATAATTTTTATTAGCTAATTTGAAAATTATAAATACTTATCTTGAAAAAATCGAAGTGCCTAAGGCGGGAACCTTTCGCTTGCTGGGTGACTGCTCTTCCATCTGAGCTACTTTGACACTGGATAAGCTGTCAAAACGCGACTCTCCCATACATTTTTTTTGACAATGAGCACTAGGACATCATGATTTAATTGATTTCAAAGCTATTAAAAATAATTATAGTATTAAATTGAAAACTAATATGTAGTTAAGTTCGGTTCTTAGGACTGTATTAAGTGTTTTTTCTTAAATAATTGATTTGGCAATAAGTGATAATTATTCAATTATCTAGGTACAAAACAAAAGTAAGAAAACAAAACAAAGATATAAGGGCAGGTTAAACACATTCTCTTGTAAAATGAATAAGAATAAGAATAAGAAATTTATTCATAATGTTCATTACATGTCAAATTTTCAATATATTTTCTTATTAATAATAAACAATTGCAGTATTAATAAGAAAGAAATACACATCATGTCCAAATAAATTAATAATACAAATAGAATTAATGTCAATGTTGCTAAGACGAACTGTATGGCACTGTGAAAAAGTTATCGGATCACAGGTAGAGCTAAGCTTCTAGCTCTACACGTCCTTACCCTACACCTCAATCAAAATATGTGTACCTCAGTCAAGTCGTGATTCTTAAGAGAGGGATTTTTTAAAAGGATTGTCTATCAAACATATTTTTTACTTATGTTGGCATGATGTAATATGAGTTTAGTAGTGCATTGTAATCTAAGCAATAGTATGGAAGTAAGTACAGGAGCCTTTAAAGTTTCAAACACTGATATTGGTTGTATTACGATTACATAGTCGTGTACCTACAAAGAGATAGGTATGTAGTATAATGCCAGTTGGGATTTCTATTCCCTTTCCTCTGTACATTAGAAATCACTCTACGTTTTAGTAAAAGATAATGTTTGTATAATATTTGTGTGTTGTGAATTAGGTGCCAAAACGTAAAAATTGGTAAAATCTAAAATCTTCGCCAAATATTAATGTATCTTAAAACTAGGGAAAACTATTTTCCAATCGCCAACTGCGAGATTGAATGCAGAATCATATGTGTAAAATATAAATTCCGTCAATGAATCCGATCAGGAGCTTTTCTGGTATATTCTGATAGAGAAAACCTAAGCTAAAGTACAAAAAGCAGCCAGAATTTTTTATGACAAATATTCAGAATTCATATCTCCACTCGCATTCAAATTAATGACGAGAGAAAACCTCATTCCACCAGTTGGAGTCAATTCCCAGTGAAATTTCATCATCGTCAATCTAACTTGGTTTAATAAGTAATACTAGCTGTGGGCCGTCCCCGAGCTGGCGCCGGCTGGTCCAGTGAGATGCTGTGCGTCTCACCTGCGCGCTATCCCTCACTCGCTCGCGGTCTCGGAGGGAAACCTCCGGACGACCCTGCATTACCATACGCGGAGCCCACACATACACTCGCGCACGACCTCTTTAGCTAAAAACGAAAACTCAAAAAAATACCTGGCCGAAAATAGCCGCAATTAAAAATAATGGCTCCAAAAATTTTTGAATTTTCGAATTTGGAACGCGCGGAAGTGGCGCCACCTGTAGCAGTGGTGTCGTCTCGCTCTTGTGGCGAGGGCGTGTCCCAAGGGCGCCTCCCACAGTCCGCGGGGACGCACCCCCGCGCCGCGAAGCCCGGGCACTCCGCGGTGCGCTCCCGCGACGCTTGTTAGTGCTCCGCAAATCCACAGCGGGACCGCCCGCACAACCGGGACCCTGATCCCAGAACGCACATACGATAATACAGAGCCGCCTACCGGATAGTTGTTGGTACCATTTTTACAAGTTGATCTACAATTTATTATTCGGGTCTACTATTTGTGTTATTACTTTGAAAATAATTCAAAAGTGTTTTTCGTGAATTATTTAATTTTTTTTTTGAGAAAATTGAAAATATTTTTACATTGACTGCATTTATAGTTTAGTACAGTCGCAAACGAAACATCTTATCGAAAACCTCAATTAATTTTTCAAAACCGCGAGTTCGGCGAGATTCCAAATTCGTATTTCAAAAAATTTCCGCGCGGTTTCCGCGATTTTCCGTGAGTGTTCGTGTGCTGCCGAGCGCCTGATCCGGGCGCGGGTCGTGGTTCGCGATTCGGTCGGACGAGCTAAACGCGGCGGCGGGCGGGTACACCGGCTCGCCGTGGCCGCCGCTGGAGCTAGACCCCGTGGGATGGGGCCGAAAACTGTACCCGTCGGGAGCGCCGAGGTCTTCAGGTGAGTCACGTGAAAAAAAAACTTCAGTTTGGTAAAAAAGCTCTTCCAACAGCTTACATTCAACGTAAAATCGCTCTTAAGACTGGATATCAATATTCAAAATAAGTTTTGCTGTTAAATCAGAAAAAAATAAATAGTAATATAGTTTCTTTTAGTTGAAATGAAAAAATAGAGTGGTGAACGTACCCATACAAAGTCAAATCTTTCAAAACTATTAATTCCAGAGAAAGGTGCTAAAATAAAAAGTACTTGGATAAAGTTTAAATGTCTACGAAACGCAGTTCATTAGTCGTTTCAATAATCTTGAATTTAATAAAATTTGGGAAACTTTGCTGTAACTTTGAAAATATTACCTACATGATTGTCAATCATGTAAATGTAAAATGAAAATGTCATTTAAATTATAAAAAGTTTTTATAAGCCAAGCTATATTTTTTTAATATTCAATTGCGCTTCTATTAAAAAAAAAATTGTAAAGATTCGATTCTTCAAAATTCCGACTTCAAAAAGGAAGAGGTTCTATGTGCCACTGTATGAATTTTTTCCACGAATATTTTCACTTGGCTCCCAACTAAAACCCCCTAAGTCCAACTTTCCACCACTTTTTCATCATCTACCCCGTCTTAGGTGGGCTGATGTTCGGCCTGCACCACCAGGAGGCGGCGGGAGGTCTCCACGCGCAGCCCCGAGGGCCCGTCACCTCCCTCAAGGAGGAACCGCTCACTCGCGCGTGGATGACGCCAAGTTCCTTAGTTGACAATACCAAGTAAGTGGCTGGAACTTTTTTTCTTTTTACGTAGAGTCCGTAAATGGCCAGTCATTGGGAATTTATTGTAAGTACACTAAAAAAGTGGCGACCACGGGCTGGAAAACGTAGCGTGGGCAGGCCTCCTACTAGGTGGACCGACGATCTGGTAAAGGTCGCGGGAAGAGCCTGGATGCGGGCCGTGCATTGCGGAAAACCTTGGAGGAGGCCTTTGTCCAGCAGTGGACGTCATTTGGCTGAAACGAACGAACGAACGAACACTAAAAAAAACCTGACACATTAAATTCACTAAAGATTTCCATAGTGTTAAAAAAAAAATTGATAAGTGCAGTAACCTATGTAACGTTTTTTTTTAATTTAATTTCTTTCTTTTTAACACGTCACGGAATCGTGGTTGAGAAAATAATTTAAAACTTTTTATAGGCTTCGTTTTTTGATAAGAATAATCTTTCCTTAGATGTGAATTGAGTAAATCGATTTTTAGAAAAACTAGGTGGTGCATCTTAATGTAAGACGTATTATTTGCAAGGAAATTAAAAACTCGATAAGTACAGGTTTAAAATAGTCATTGCGACAAAAAAAATTGGTTATTAAAAACTGTACCTATTTTAAATATAAAAATTAATAAAGAAACATGTACAGTTCAAATAAAAAAAATACCTTTTTTTTTTTTTGAACAAACAACCAACGGAACCCGAAGTAGCATTAAGTCATCAATACCAATGGTGCATTACACATCAAAGGGGCCTTATTTATACATTAAACCTTTTAGTGGCTGAAAAGAGCAGTGCTAAACTCATTGTGCTCGCAAATCGCGTTAGAGCCCGCAAACTGGGCCCGAAACAAATGTCTGCTTGGTGTGACATTAAACAAGCAACCGGATTAAATGCTCGTGCGAGGGGATCCGTCGATGCTATGACAAATGGTAGATGGAATGATAAAAGAAAAACTGGATAATATGTGGGTATAGAGTACTTCACATTCGAGAAAAGTTATAAAAACTGTGTTTAAGATTTGGTACTTTACAAAGAACAATTACATACAAATGATTTTAGATAATTTTGTAAAATAAAACCAACAATAATGACTCTTGATTTTTTCTTACTCTTGATTAGAAACCAGAAATATAGTACTTTCATAAAGAAGATGATATTTTTTAGTTTCGTGACTAGCGTTAAAATTAATAATAGCGTTGCAAATCTCTATCCACATCTCTGTTACATGTTTAAAAATGCATAATTAATAAATAAAACAATTTGATATCAATGTAGAGCCACAGATAATATAATACTAGTAGCGTTCTATCCTACCCAACATTAATTTGCAACAAAAATTCAAAAGTACCATCAAAAACAAAAGCGTTGACCGTAAAAAAGGCATTGTAAAAAATTAAAAATTTTAATTTTCGAATCGAAACTTTCGCCCTATTCGAAACCCGGTACAGTCATAAGCAGAAGTACCCCACACCGCGGCATGATTTATCGCGCCCTTTCCGCTTATGAATACGCACTTGTTACGGGCGAGTTGATTATCGCCGGCAACCCGCCCTGATTGGACGATACTCGGCGCGGTAATAAACACCGCATTGTGAACATTATGGTGCAGTTCCATTATGTGCGGTTCGTGATGAGTAAAAAAAGATGTGTAGGATAAATTTGTCGCGAATCTTAAAAGTTCGCCTCTTACTTAGTAGCGCACGTTGAGAGACTACAGATCACGGAATGAATTTCAAAAATCTTCTTTCATACGTTTTTTATGTTCTGGCGAGGACTTATCCAGCACTGTGTTACGTAAGGAAGAGGCGTTTCCTGATTTTTTTTCACTTTAAGAACAAGAAACGAACAAAATCATTTTACGTNTTTTACGTTAGTTGTAATAAAAATTCTATAAAACATTAAAAAAAATGTTGCGTAGTTAAACACCGCTTTACTATGAGCAGAGAAAAATTATTATAACTCGAATTACTTAAAATTCAAAATCTTGATTTAAATATGGGCTCTATCCTGTCTGATATCGGAGTTCCTCCCTCAACAATAACAATAGCTTAGAAAAATACAATTATTATGAATTGAAGAGCAAATTTGTGCAAGTGTCGTGTCGTTTTGCGTGTATCCCGAATTAGTGCGCATTGTTTGTGGAGGGCTCTCCCGACATCTGTCGGCTCTACCTATATGTTATTATACCAACCATGTTTGTGTAGCTTAGGATTATTTGATTCAAGATCATTGTGGAAGAAGCTTGGAAAATAAAAGTACAATGTCAGTTATTTTTCTTGTTTTTATTTATTTTTAAACGTTAAGCTATGTTTCTTTAATTTTTTAGAACACACAATACATTTACTTACATGTAATTTCTTTAGATAGTATTTTTAGGGTTACAAGCAATGCTTTATAATTTTATCCGTTGCTTAACCCAGAAATTCTTGAATCTAATTATGACAAAATAAATATCAAAGTAGAGAAATTATGATTAATTATTTTTACTATCACAATTTATTGGGGTATCGAAGATAGTAATTAAAATAATTATACTAATCACCCAAAATCGCCAGGAACTCGGATGACAAATGCTGACAGATAGCCGACCGACGGCGGTGACAGCGTCATTTATAAGGCTGACTAAAATCATTAACTCGCGCACCCCACCGATTACGGTTAATATTTTAACAAAATACCACTTCTAAGTTGGCTGCACAAGGGACAAGTTTTGAGCTGGAACGTTTTTAATGTCATTATTTCAACTAAAAACTTAACTAGGTACTTAATAAAATTAAGCATAACTTAGAAATAAAAAATATAAACTAAGCTATTTTTAAAACTAACTAAAATATTTAAAGCTTTTGTTCGTATTTACCTGTAAATGCCCACTTACCTATTAGAAAAAGTGTTTTTATTTTTTTATTATTTCATTTCCTGATTTTAAAATAATAAAAATGGAATGCTTTTGAGAAAGAACAATCGAACTTTGCCGCTTTCAACGGGCTTAAATCTTGTACACANAATAACTCCACAAAAATCGCTCGAAGATTGATCGTTCAGCGATCGGTGTGCGAAAAAAGCGCTGCAGCCTAAACGCAAGCGCCGAAACTGGTAGCGATAAATAAAACAATGGAGTGTCGCGTGCGAGAGTATAAAATGGCAATCGCGAAACCAATTTGTTTACGCAAATTCTGCAGCGGAGAGATGAATGGGCGACCATAGCGTAATACGGTCCTGGCTGGTAATGCTGCGTAGTGACGTCGCGGGGTCGATGCTTGTCTTTTGTTTTTATGGACGACTTTTGTTGCAATGGAACATAGTAAAGGAGCGACATGAAAGAGTTTAGTGTTTGTTTTATTTTTAGGCCTTTAATTTTCATTTTCAGGGAGTAGTCAATTTATAATTTGATGACTACTTATTGCTCCTATATTACGTGAACCGTGTCATACATTTCATTCAAGTGTTTTATACATAATATGTTAATAAAACCAGTCCATAAAATATTATGTTTAGAGTTGCCAGTTTTGATAAAAAATATCAAATACACACATCGCTTAGGAAAAAATATTTTTTGGAAAACTCTTTTTCGTCATTACCTGAAAACCAACAATTTCTCAATTTAGAAGTAAAATAAAACTGCTAAAGACTCATCATCGACAAATCCTATATTTTTTGTCAAACATTACTCCATCACTACACAGCAACACACAGTTGCTCCAACAATGAGAAATGAGACCGAAGATTTGATGAACTGCGCGCATTTGAAATTCTCTATCGATGTATTTATTGCACATATTCCAGCGTTGGTGCCACTCGATTTCCTCCCTTATCAAGTGGTAATAAAGATTAGGAGATTAGCAAAATTATGTTTTCACGCATAAACACGCACACATGTCGATATCGACTTGTGTGGTGCCGTTTATTTGTCGTCTCTTCATTAGCATTACCAATATTTTAGAATTGCATTTTGACTGTGTCATTAATTTATTGTACCATAGGTTTGTAAAACGACATAAATACTATGTAGGTATAAATAAAATGATTTTAAATTAATGGACGACATAATAGTTGTGGTTTTTAATAATTATAACTTGTTAATTTTCATTGTAATTTAATCATAATAAAAAACAATTTTGCATTTGCATAGTAATTGTAAGTTATCATAGTGCAATTCAAATAAGTTTGTGGTTTACAGTTATAAAAACTACAACAACCAAGTTTTATGACTAATCATCGGGCCCATTATTACAAAATAAGTTACCGAAACAACAAAGGAGTACGGTTGTCGCAAAAAAAACTCTTTGCTAACGGTAAACAATAGATTAATTTTAAAAGGATTATAATCTCCGTGTTTTGTTTCTCAAAGAACCTTTTTTCTGTTACGTGTTTTTTCATCTGTGGTTTCGGAAAGCGCGCGTATATGGTTGTCAGTGTCAAACGAAAAAAGCGCGCGAATGTCTGGTGGCAGTGTGACGTCTATTGACAAATAGAGGGATGAAAATAAAGTAACCGCCGAAAGAATTGAAGATTTACGACATTATTTTTGTGAACGGTTCTTTTTTCGGTGTCAATAGATGAACTGTTTGAAACGTGTTGGTAACTGAATTTACTGTGCGATGAGAAGATATTTTGTTTATTTTTATAATAATCCTTAGTTTCTCAGTATTTGATTACGATATTTACGTAGCTACCTACATAAAATTAAATTACGATTGTCGAACCATTAAACTGAGAGTATGTAGTCTAATTACTAGGTGACTAGGCGATCCAGTGGATATCGTAAAAGGCGTAAGGAGTAGGTACGTGAAAACCTCCATTTGCCTCGGTAAANGCCTCGGTTTAAGACAATGTCGTGCTCTTGCGGTGCAGATGATAGAGTGGCCGGATGATGATACAATATATCAATTTTTATCCCGTTTTCAAGCTTTTAATAAAATTGATCCATCACTGCTTTTTTCCTAATTAATTATTTTTTGAATGCAGCACAGTGGGCGTCGGCCGAGCCCACTTCGAGAAGCAGCCGCCTAGCAACCTACGCAAGAGCAACTTCTTTCACTTCGTGGTCGCACTGTATGACCGCGCGGGACAGCCTGTGGAGATCGAGAGGACTGCCTTCATCGGATTCATTGAGAAAGACCAGGTAATCTTAGAGATGGATGATATGGAATAAATGAACCAGTAAATAACGGCTCAGTTACACTATGCGGGAAAATTGACTGAGACAAAGCGCGAGCACGCACACCGAAGTATGGACGACGCACGACGAAACTAAATGAAGTGCGTGTTTACACAATATGACCTGCATCGTGTAACTGCGCCTTCAGCCGCCGCATTTGGCAACACCTTGTGATGCAGCCGCATACAGCCGCCTCCTTGGCCACGCAACACTGGCCACCAAGAAAATGATTTCTTTTTTCATCGCCCAACATCGACATTCTTTTGTTTTCTTTCTCGCTTAGGACCTTCTCGGTTTCCCTCGTACAATTTCCACGACTGTTATTTTTGTAAATAGGACTAATTATTTAATATTCAGTTCTTTAACCAAATATCGAGTATTATTATAATAACTACGATATCCCGAAGCACATACACACGCAATAGTAAGGCCCATAGAGCCACTACATCTTGCAATGTAAGTAGCTATTTCGTTTATTTTTTAAATGTTACTTAATTTTCGACCATTTTGTAGTTTAATATAATTTTCGTTGCTATTAATAACGTTTAAAATTCGAATCAAGTTTTTCCGTGTGATTTCAGCCGCGATTTAGATTTTCACGAAGTCTTATACGACTCCACAATATCTAAAAACTCTATCATTACATCATTCTGAAACACTCCTTATTTATACTTACTTTAAGTTACATACGAGTATCATACAGTATCACATCCATGGCTTTGCAAACAGTTAATAGCCAGTAAAGGTACAGTTCCTTTCAATAAAGTCTTATTGCGTGTTATCAATAAATCCTCCGATACTTATCGTGATCAGAGAGCCATTAATCAGGATCGGTCGGACATGATGTCTATTGTGTGTACAATGCCTTATTTACATAATGCGACTGAACGTTGGTGGCATGTGTTAAAATTCAACGTTTCTGTTCGATTCCAGTGGAGTACAAAGGGGTAGTTATAATCTGAACCTGTTTGTTTTATTTGAGCTTAGCATAATTAAGTAATATTTACATTTATTATTGTAAGTAAATAGATTGAAAGAGAATACAGTCATGAAGAAGATCGAAGATAAAAAAAATAAAAAAGAATCACACTCGCGAGCTTTTTCATATTTTTTGATTTACAAAGCAGGTTGAATTACCAGACTATTGTTAATCTGCTTGGCAATTAAATGAGACAGTCTTAAAATACTATGGGCAATAAAATTCAGACAGGTAATGCTGAATAGTAAACACAAATAAGTATCAAGATTCCATGTAGGTAATCTATTATCTACATAAAAAAACTTTTCAATCAATGACTAAATTAAACCACTTTGACCTGTATTTACATACCCCTCCACGTTTTTATACCTATCGACAAGTACAGTTGTCACCCAGTACACGCGGTGTAGCGGTGGCGTCGTAAAAACGCGACTGTTTACCGCCTGAATAATTAACACGTATGAACAAACGAGAAGTGTGAACGCTCTCGACGCAACACACGTGGAACATGACGTACTTTTACATACGGTGAGGCGTTGTAGGCATTATTGTATTGTTAATAGACTGTGCGTGTCTCTTTATTGCACAAGTAGATACAGATGAAAATACAATTTATGAAAAAAAAAATTAATTTTAACTTTGAATTTGTTAGATCTTAGAAAAATATGTTTTGATAAAAAACAATGTCTAGTTTCTAAGACGAAAAAATAAACACTTATCAGACATTCTATTGTCAGCTAATGACTATGTTCTTTAAAACTGTTAATTTTGTTACAGGAAGCCGAAGGCCAGAAAACGAATAACGGTATCCAGTACAGACTTCAGTTACTTTACGCTAACGGTTAGTAAAAACAATAATGTGCACATCATAATCCATCAAGTACCTACACAAACACATCCTTAATTTTCATTTGGTTCCACAGGGAGCTAAAAAGTTTCTATCTTGTTTTCTTCATAATTTGTTAATAAAGAAGTCCTCTATGATATCAATGATATGAAAGAAATAATTTTATTGAAATATAATTTCGTAATGTTATCTGTAATAATGTCAAGATTGGTGTATCACTACGGGCCTCATTCACACAGCAAGTAGACACAGCTTTGTGCGGCTGATTGGTAGTCGCTAACAACTTAGTCCCATCTCGGTGGCTATTCAATGCCTGTTTAGCCGGGTTTGATGCTCGGACTGTGTCAATAACCTAACAACATTGTCTTACGGTCAATATCTGGTATGACCTGACCAGATTGTAATGGTACAATCAGTTATATTAGTAGGTACTAGGTATACTAGTATTCTATAGACTATCGATTCTATTATGGTAGCAAGATTTTTTTTATTGAATGAAATAAAGCTCTATTAAAGTAAGTATAATATTTTTTTGCAGTTGAACCAGATCTAACTACTAGTTTGTTCATTTACTTACTGAAAGCTTATTTAAATTGTCATGCATTCATGCAACTATAGTCCTTACGACAATGCAAAAAAACTGTTAGAAAAGAATAAACGTATTTCAATTAATTCTAAAAATAGCTTATTCTTTATTCATGTTGGCATTGTAATAAATCCAAGACCTCCAAGTGACTTCGCGGAGTTTGTATCTCGTTAACCAAATTTGAGCTCTAGTCCTTTGACTTAAGTTTCAATTTAGGTTTGGCATTGATTTTGTATTCAGTATAGAGACCACAGACAATGCACCGTCGAAGTGTAAATATTTGCCGTCTTGGCCCTTAGTTCAAGATAATGGAAAATTGGCATAGATGGCTCTGCTCATGCTGTGAATGATGATTGCTCCTTGGCTCTTGGATTGAACAGTCTTGGAAGATATTATGATTTTGCCTGTCCTTACTACAAATACATATAAACCCATCTTGGACGCAATCTCTGTAAAACTAGGGCATGTCATTAGTGAAAAGAAATAGGATTTAAAATTACGAAAGAAATTAGATAAAAAATTATGAATTGAAAAGATATGCAGTTTTTTTGCAATCAAACAATTCGTAGCTAGAGATGGAGACAAATAATGTTTTTAAAGACCAATTTATATTTTATACAGCAATCTTCTTTTACTTAGAAAAATAAGTCTTATTTGTAAGGAAACAAAAAGTTCTTATACCATCGCTAGAGCAATTCCAGGAGGTTAACAAATAGTGTAATGTGTAGTGCTACGCCGTAGCCGCTACGGTTTTATTGCCAGTGTGTAAATGTGCTAGATAGGTACTGCTGTATGTATAGATAACATCGTAGTCATAGTATTTCGTAGTAGGTACCCTTATCTTCGTAGCGCAACGATTAAAAATTAAATTATTAACACGATTACGACAGTACTATATATTTTCAATCTAAACTTTTGTTTCAGGTATTCGACAAGAACAAGATATTTTCGTCCGTCTCATCGATTCAGTCACAAAGCAGGTAAGAAACCTAAGTTAAATCCAAATCCGATACTTTACTAGTAAGACTTGCATTATAAGACCTAATTAAACACCGTAAAAAATGTTTGGTTACTGCTTACACAACAAAAGTGACCACCGAACACTTTGGTTATGAGGAACAAAATGTTGTGTAAATTAAACAAATAATTCTGTAGTGAGCTACACTTAGTTTGGTTATAATTAACACTTAGTTTGGTGGTCACATTTGTTGTGTAATCAGTAACCAAACATTTTTTTCAGTGAATTATGAGGTAGGTAGTTTTAGCAAATACAAAGTTTATTATAATATTTTATTGAAATAAGAGCAATAAAAAATCGGAGTGACAGATGACGTCTTGTCAATTTGTCCCATTTCCCAGACATTAATTCACACCTCTCATCCCAGGCCGCGTGCGCAATATGCCTACCAATTCGCACGAGGTCCACAGTTGTCCAAAAATAGAACGTTCTGCAGCCAACCCTCCACATGCCCGGCTCATCCCATCTGCACCGCGAACCCAACCCTCCACGTGTCGGTCACGTGGCAGATTGTCATCGCCGACTCCCGATTAGGGTCTAATTCACCCCGGTCAAAATTGCATCGCATTTAAACGTAATCATTACTGTTATCTACAGTTACAATTTTATTCCCTGCACCTCGATTCGTTGATGAGTTCGCGATGTCCTTTTGTGTATCGTGTCATGAAATTTTAGACGCGACGTTGAAGGGGTTAATGGGTCGAGTTTTAGCCCACTAAGCAGTGGGCTTAAGGTTTGAGTGACGTGGGAATTGTAATTTACGTGCTTTTAACATGCCAGCATGCTAGAGCAGATTTGTATTATTTTGATAGTTACTGCGATGACTGTCGTCTTTAATCTTTTTATATTTTAAATTGCTAAAACTTGATTGGATTCTAGTCAGACATACGACTGAGAGTCGCATGATTAAACCCAAGNAAGAACAGAAAACAGTTGAAAGTTTAACCTCCAATAACGGTACGCGGCAACATCTTACAACATAATAATTAACCGAAAACATCATGGAACTTGCCCGTGTGCACATATATAATTTCAACACGTCCCGAGCTGTTAGCGTTCTGAAACAGGAGGCCAATTACGAAAGATTTATACCGTGAACATAATTAACTTAGGCCGAACGTTGTTAACTAAGAATTACGGAATGGTGCAATGTGTTTTGTTCGTTGATGACGCCTTATTGTCTTTTAGTACCAAACATAGGATGTTATCGATTTAAGAGAATACTCTAAATTTTTGTATTAAATTATAGTTTGCTTGATGCTTTCGTCTAGACCTGAATCAATTACATATTACTTTCAGCGCTGACATATTAAACGAACTCACAAGTAATTACTCATGTAATTAAACCAAGCAAATTATTTTGATACTGCCAAGTAAAATATTAAATACTCGACAAAGTCAAACAAGAGTGACACGCAAAACAGTCGTTGTAAAAATGGCGATGCAAAGATGGCGGATAATAGCGAGCGGTCAAATTAATTGTATTAAAACGTTAGGCCGGGGGTACACGGCAATCAGCTAATGCCGGACGGTGCATGCGAGCCGGGCACGCAACTATCTGACCGAAGATATTCCTACAAAGTTCTTGGTGTACACGATTATAGAGTCGGAGGAAAGCTCCGTCCTTTCTAGTTTTTTAAAAATGTTCAAGTTTTAAGCACCTTATGATCATGACGAGTAAAAGAAGTTTAGGAGTATTTCTATGTAAAGTGTTCAAACGACAGCCAAAGTTTGTTACTCTTGAAAGAAAGAGGTATAGATATCAGAGGTATGCCCCTGCAGTGGGAGCAATGTATTATGTAGAGATCTTAAATAAACAACTTGAAAAAATTTAACTGCCTAAGGCAGGAATCGAACCTACGATTAATTAGAATGTAGAGATTGATGATGGTGATGGAAGTTAATTTCCAATTGGTTATATCACATAAAATCTTATCTATACTTACGTTCTACAAAGGGGCTTGCAGGTCTTCAAACATTTCCATTAACATTTTCGCATTACTTTCACTCCCTCTAATGAGAAATTCGAATGACCGGATTATTTGTGTTCCCATACTAAATCACTATCATATCAATATCTAAAACATCAATCTGCTCCCTCTGTTTGAACATAGTCTTAAGATACTGGCCGTATATGGGATTCGGGCAAATCCTATAGTGGCCACCGCGCGGTGAATGGAGCGGCGCGCGCGGCGCACGTGACCCGATGATTGTGTTTGCATAACTATGTTCAAACAACATATTAATTATGTAGTCTTTGTTGGGAAAGTTGGTGTTTAATAATGGCAAAAGTAAAATTGGTTTTTCGCCAATATTATTTTCTAATCCTTCAATTATCACCATTTTCATCATCAATTAAAGTTTAAGCTGATATAAAATGATATACTTTGTTGAAAAATGACAATCAACATTTTATTTATGTTATAAACTGTGAAATAATGTGTGTTCTTAGCCTAAAACATAATTAAGTCGACAGCATGATACTTACCCTCGTACTAAAAACTGTACGGCGTCATCATATTAGATAGCAATAATAAGTATATTTCTGCACTCACTGATAAAACAAAGCAGTACTTGCCAATAATATTGTTTTCGCATAGATTTTAACAAAAAAATCGATCTTAGTTCCAAGTAGCAACCTTATTTTTGATACCAAACGAATTCCCAAGAGATTGAATCCCATACGGATTAGCAGCCCCGAGCGGGACACAGTCTGTCCCCATGGGATGTATTCCAGTAGTCGAGAAAAGTCTGGACGATAACTGCGAAACCTAGACACATTTTTTGAAATTCCCCAGAGATTGGATCCCTTGTGTTTCAGTCTAGATTTCAGCGAAATACTTACGGAGTAGGGTTTGGACTGTAGTTTTTCTAGTTTTGCTTTGGTGATGAAGAATGAGTGGGATTTTTATGTAGCGGGACAATAAGTAAGGTAGAGTTTTTGAAAATGTGGAAAGTTCTAAAAAGTTCACAGTCGTTTTCATACCATCTTTGAGTATCATCAGGCTTATTAAATCCTTAATTAGCGATTTTCTGTTCAATATCTTTGGTCTCTTTTATTAATAATACATAAAAAAATTAAAATCATACTAAAATAAGAGCCATTTTATCTGTATGAACATTTAGTTGAAAATTGATGCAATTCACAATAATTTTAATCATGTTGATAATTTAGTCCTAAATCCAGTTTTTGTTTATGTCTATGTCATCTCTTTCTTCACTGCAATACAAAACTGTCGCAGTGACGTCTCGAATTTCTCTACATGAACATATTTTTTGAATCCCCACCAATTCCCAGGAGATTGAATCCCACGCGACCTGGCTGCGGGACACTGCCCTCTCCTGCGGGACGCTCTGGGACTTGGGGATCGGATTAGCCGCACTAGTTGTAGACCTTGTGTTTATTAGCAATAAGAGCTATGGGTATATGCTTCCGTTGAGGTTTGCTTTGGGGTAAGTAGGTTAATGAGGCTCGTGCTGTGTTGATGTACAAATTGTGCTTCTGGGTAAAATGGTGCAACTTCGAACAACTGATAGTTATTACCTGCTTTACATACGTAATATGCCAATATTGTATATTCTGGTACTCATCACGCTAGTATTTGCTTCATGCAGTAAAATCACATTACTTCTGGCTCTATAGCTCGGTACAGTATCATTAGGCAAGTTTATCTCTATTTCCACTATTCGCACTGCAATTCAAAACGTATCGATGCTATAGAGTCACAAACAAAAATAAAACACATGGAATCATTTTTCTTGCATCATAGTTTACCCTAATCTCTGCATATGCCTAATTGATCTCAACCCACCTGATGCCTTGTCCACCCCAACGCATCAACATCCCCAAATCCAGGGGTTATTTCAGCACTCTTAAATACTTTACCCTTGAATACAAAACACCCTACGAGATCCGCTAAATCCTCCACACAAAAGATGATAAGATCCTGCTATTTCGTATTCAATTAAATATTTCGTTGGGGATGAAAAATCCATCTTTTAGCTTTGCGGATTTAGGGGTAATGTCAGATGTGTAACTATTGCGAACTTTTGCACGAGATTAGGTGTAGTTTTGGTTACAGATTGGGGTATTACAATGCTAATCTTAGAGCGCCGACTGGTGTCGAATTAAGTACGGAGTTTTTGCAAATCAAATAAAAAATTGTTTCACCCCATGACGTTTAAAAATTGTTTTCCATTGAATTTCATTTTCAACAGAAAAATATTTTTTGTACAATAAATGTAGATTTTTAGCACGACCTATTATTATACTAAAGTTAGTTTTTTTATACAATAATACGTCATTACTCACTGACCCAGTAATCAATGTAATTGGATATGGCATTATCGTACTTTAAATTTTTATCAGTAAAATTCTAAAAGGTCAACGCGGTAGCTATGCAAATGCGTTTTGGTTGTTATAATAAAATGCGATTATACACGAGGGGTGCATAAATTAGCAAAAAGCAATAACATGATGAAGACGGAACCTTTTATCTTATCTGTCCTCCGATTTTTAATTAATAGAATCCATTGTCTTTTAAAGAAACGAGAATGTTAGCGTCAAAACGTCCAGGACTCACAAAATGACACGTATTACCATTACATAAGATGCAGTTTGTAGAGATTTTCTGTCGTCTCTTGTACAGACATTTCAAGCTTTAACACTGTGGCCTCTTATGTAATTGTGATAAAAGCCAAACAAAAATGTAAAATCTGATGTGCCGTCGACTCTACGTTGAAGCAGATACTTTAAATACTCGTAGCTTTTCGACCATACTACACGTCATTAAGATTCAAAATACTATGATTGTCCGTAAATGTTGTAAGTTCAGTTTCTAACTGTTTTCTCTTTTCCAGCCAATTGTCTACGAAGGTCAAGACAAAAACCCCGAGATGTGCCGAGTTTTGCTCACACACGAAGTCATGTGCAGGTAAACATCTCTACTATTATTAATACTATTTTTATTTGCAAAAAATACTCAAAGATTGTCATAGTTAAAAACCATTAATCATAAATATCATTTTTCAAATTCTGCCAATCATGATTCTCAAAACTTGGGTTGGGCTTTGTAGTTTCTTTGGACGTTGTAAAGTAAACAAAATATCAAACTGTCGTCTAAACTAGTAGTCGGTTTAGGGAGGAATAATATTAAGGTCAGCAGCTCACATAATGCGGCTAATTACGTCACTATAGCACTAAAGCGACTGACGATTTTCACACGTAATAATGTGTACTGTTATGAAGTCCTTATCAACAGAGGAATAAAATTCACCAAATAAAACAAACATAAAATGCTTACGTCAGGATTCGACAAAAAGTTACACGTTCATTGTACCCAGAAGGTAATTACCGAACTCACAACAAAGAAGTGAATGTCCTTATTAATTTAAACATTTGTTTGGGGTGGGTTTCCCGTAACGCGACCGTCTAGGTCAGTGGTTCTCAATCTATGGTTCGCTGAATTATTTTCAGAATATAGCTTCTTACAACACAGGCATGAGACCAAAAAGGGATTTTACTGGTGAGAACTTGAATTAATAGTTTAGTTCAGTTAAAGTAGGGAACAAATTTTTTGGTACGGAGTTCAAAGAAATACAATAATATTTACGACTTACATTGTTTTTGAACTCTACGACTGTAGCTGTCCAAAAAAGGTTGGGATCCCCTGATTTAAGTAAACTAGTGTGTGTAAGCACGCACACGGTGCGTTTGTGTGGGCAATTAAAATTTTATTCCACCTTAGACGCAGTGCTGCTGTCCCTTTTGGGTGAATACGTGCATCCCGCTCACTCGTCTTCAGGGGAGGAGTCTCTGGGGAGTCTGTCCTTTCAATGTCTTTGCCCTTTGCGTCAAGGAGCCCCGGTAGGGCGCGAGCGTTGCCGTAGTGTGGACATAGCGAGTTTTGTTCTGTCTGATTTATAGACTTTTGTTAAGTTGCGTATGGTTTCATTTTGTCATATCCTTTGCTGGTAAATACGTGGGTGGATGACATAAATAGAAATAACTTTTAATTCGCTAAAATTAAACAATGACATAGAGACCAACAATACTAAAAGATGACCTAATTTTCATTACTGACAGTCAGCAATCGGTGAGCCATATTAGCCTAGTCTGCGACTTCGCCGCGTACCTTTTGCGGAAAGTCTTTATGGTGTAAAATCGCATGAAGCTGATAGATTTGATTATTTTGATTAATTTTAGCTATGCTGCAAATATCAAAAGACGTAATGCAGTATGCATATCGTTTTTAGTTAGACACTTCTTAATACTCATTTCTAAGGGAAGAACTTCTTCCCTTGCAACTACAGATAGTCAAAAACACGTACACATCCAATTGCTGCTTTCCCCAGTATGTTTATATGTTACTGTCTGCCAGTGGCCTCCAGTTATGGCACTATAAATCGTGCCTATGAGCGACATCGCACGCATCCGACCCTCTGTGCTTTTACCGGAATATATTGATTTTATCCCCCGATATCCTTTTAAGCAATTTTATTTACCTTTCAAAATATAATTTAAGGAGACACTGCGGAGGACACTTTCCCCTTTTAAGGATGCAGTCACTCTTTTATAACACGTATTTTATCGTGTTATAGGTTTTAGAGGGCTCTAAAAGTGGTACGTTTACCTTAATTTTTTTGAGAAAAACTAGTAGATTAATTTGAGTATTTTGTTTCAGTCGGTGTTGTGATAAGAAGAGTTGTGGTAACAGAAACGAAACCCCATCAGATCCTGTCATAATTGATCGGTAAGTGCTAGTTATTAGTAATTTAAAAGTTCAGAACCCGAAATCAAACAAATAAAAAAGGTATAAAAATATTTATAGCATTTTAAAACATTAACACTTAATTGAAGGTACAACTAAGCTCAATTTCTGATGAATATTAAGTTTTGGAAAAATCAGTTGCGATCATTTCTTGTCTCAAATCGCAACAAAACAAAATAATAAAATAAAACAAAACAAAACAGAGTTATAAAAGCACAAAAGAGTCTATTCCAATACATATCTGTCACAGATCGCAATAAAAATGCGAGGACGCACAGAAAGTTCGCGGTATCGCGCAAATGCATTGCGAAGTTTGAGATTGCCGTCATTGTGCCTGATGAATTGGTGTGAATGCACACAGGAATTCTATTCGTTTTAAGTCTGTATTCCAGTTTCAGATTTTGGATGGAGTTAGCGTTTTGGGTTTTAAGAACTACCTTAATTTTTGTTTTGGGGCATTCAAAAGTTTTGATAGAAATGACCTTATTGGTTAGTAGTTCTTGAATATGGGTAAGTACTTTTCGAATTCATATTTTTCCAAATTTTTTGTTAGCCAGTATTTTTGAAATACTGAAACTGTATTTTTAAAACTCGTATACTTTTTGAAAGTAAATATAGCATACCTACTAAAAACAAGATTAGGTGTGCCTGAGCCAATATTTTCGGCATTTCAATTAAAACAAAAGTTGATTGGCCTCCTGCGGTCTCATTGAGCTAATCAGGCTGACAAGTACCATTCAATGGGATATGCCCACCATTGATAGGGCCATGTTCCATTGATAGGGTGGATGTGTGCTTCGGTGCTTTTATTTTCGGTCCTTTTTCGGGGATTCAATAGAGATAGGCGTCTCCCGTTTGGAACTTCGTTCGATATTTGAAATTTAGGGTTGACGAATTCAAACCATTGCATTAGTTTTTTTTTATAATTTCTAAAAGTTTTAATTAATTTTGTATTGAACTAACTTTTTTACCTTATGAGACTTCATTTACAGAGATATTTTAAAATTAATCTCTCTAAAATGACGTCAATGCGGTTTCCAGAACCTGACAAATTTATTATACACTAGCTTTTGCCCGCGGCTTCACCCGCGTGAAATTTGTTTGTCACAGATCGTCATAAATTATAGCCTATATGTTAATCTGGGTTATAAACAATAATACTGTAAAGTTTCAATAAAATCCGTTCAGTAGTTTTTGCGTGAAAGAGTAACAAACATCCAGACATCCAGACCTCCAAACTTTCGCATTTATAATATTAGTAGGATACATTTAGCTATCGGTATCTTGTACTTCATTTGCGTAATTGGCATATACATAATACAACTAGCTTTTGCCCGCGGCTTCACCCGCGTGAATTTTAGTTTGTCACATATCGTCATAAATTATAGCCTATGTGTAATTCTGGGTAATAAACAATAATACTGTGAAGTTTCATCAAAATCCGTTTAGCAGTTTTTGCGTGAAAGAGTAACAAACATCCAGACATCCAGACATCCAAATTTTCGCATTTATAATATTAGTAGGATTAAGTCTTACGAAGTTTGTGTTATGTAGAGAGCCCAATGGTCCAAAAGATTTTACAAAACTAATTCAAACAGTAGTAGGTAATTGGCAGCCCTATAACTCGTACGTCGGTTTTGTAATTCACTCGATTCAATTTTTATTCTGCCTTGGAAACAAAAAAATCAACGTTGGCCTTTGTGTGCTAACTTTCCTTCGCATTTCACGTGGAGTTGATTGTCGAAATTTCTACCTACCCGCGAAAAAACTTGTGATTTTTGCCGTTTGATGCAAATTACCCGCTTTGTGAGCGCCAGTCATTATTAGAAAGCGATGTGTGAAATTGCGGTATAGGTTTTTTTGAATATTCATTGAGTTTGGAGTAGGATAATGTTGTTATGATGTGCCAGTGGTTTAGGAATTTGTAAATAAACCCATATGTGTAACCAAATATTCTGTGTGTGTAAATGTGTAGTTAAATGGTTGTTATGTTGCTTACGTGTATCTGTACACATTTAGCATTTTAAAATTACAAAAGCATACCTATTATTTAGACTGTTTAGATTTTTGTTTTCCTAAACACAACCTCTATAGTTAGACTACATAGTCAGCGATATAAACTATTTATAAATCTAATTAAAACTCAAATAGAGCATTCAACGAGACAGGGTCACAATTCGACCTTTCATCAAGCCCTATCGTACAGTCGCCGGCAAAAGTCACAAATGAACGCGACAATAATCCATCAGCCCGCCTCGCCCAGTACACTCGCGAACTAATGCGATAATTGAAATTGTGCAATTGCGTGCGAAACTCCCAGCACCGAATTCATTACCGTCGTGTTTTTCCCCAATTTGTTTTTTTACAGCGTGGAAAATAGACACTTTTTTGATGGCTCAATTATATTACACCGGTTATTGCGTTTTGTGACATTGTTTCATCATGTGCATGGATAGTTTATTCATCTTTATTGTTGATTTTCCCTTGACTTTGGTATGGTTTCCAGTTAAAGCACATGAGCAGTATTATTGATTCAAAGAAATAAGATAATCCCTCGCTTCAGAGAACACACTGAAGTAGTATCTAGATCAACTATGACATCTTGTATCTCTGCGAGAACTGCGAATTAGTTACTACTTTTAGAAATACATAAATAACATAAAATCCAAGACTCTTACNACTCTTACTCTGAGTATTTTTCAGCAAACCCCCTTTGAAAGCCAACCAAAAATGTAAAGCCTAATCACCGGCGCTATGCGGCGCCTAAAACACGGCAGCAACTCAAACCGGGGAGTATCGATAACACGACGAATAATTGACGTAACGGTAAAAGCAGGCAACAATCCAGAACCCTTCGAATCAGCAGCAATTTGTTAAGTGGATTTTTGCCCGAGACACGCTCGCGGCTCGTTGCGCTCCTGTACACAATTTCATTATCTCTGCCCGCCTGCCCGCGGCCGGCTCTACTATTAACTTATGCGATGCTGTGTTCAGCTATGGAAATTTTTTCGAATTTATTCGCCACGTTTTCTATTTTTAAAACGGCGTAAAATGTTTTTATTATTATGTAGAATCTCATCGTGTGCTGGCCAGGTATATTGCCGAGATTATTAAATTAATTTTTAATTTTTATTGTAAGTAGTTGTCAGTGAGTGTACCTACCTCTTCTTAATCAAAGTTGGATAGCATTATTGTTTTTGCATCTCTTAAAGATTGGAAAAAGCTGTGATTCAATATTACAATACGATTTTTGAACTTTTGTAAAGCTGCTTTTTCAGGAATAGGTAGCGTTGTAACAAATCAAAGTCAATTTAAAACTAAACCAAATTATGAATCGACCCCTAAATCGTTTCTGATCGTACATTTATAATAGTGCAGGTACTTTACTAGATGGACTTTCGAAATCAATCGGTACCCACGCAATCGTCCCCTACGTAATCACTTAAGAATTTTATGAACCGTAATGATTAAGATGTTTCGTAGTCTAAAACGATTGACCGAGGGTGGCGACATTGTTGTGATAAACATATTGTGATCGGAATATCTATTAAAGGATTAAACTTTTAGGAACATGCTCGTTCGATTAGTAAGGGGAAATTAATGTTAACACTTCGTTTGTTGTCATACGCGTGAGAAAATATGCAAAGCCGTGGAGAGGGAGATGTATGTATTACGATTCTGCATAATCTCAAAATAACTTTAAAAAATATTTAAAATAATAATTGGTATTTTGATGTTTTATGGCAAATTGATAAGATAAGATAAGATAAATTTATTGAATAAAGACTTAGCCTAAATACAAGAAACTTAAATGGGGCTATGAAATTATTTGGTTAGATGATGATGATGATGATGATGATGAAAATACATACATAAAGATGAATAAATACAAGACTTTGCCGATATTTCTATGCAGTTTCATGAGTTCTCAATTCCTGTACCTATTAATTTGTTGAATTCAAAATAATATTTTACATCGAAAATTATTTATGTAACCCTATATGGACAATTAACTAGGAAATTGGAATAAAAAATAAGATCTATAGATTACTTATTGTTTCCAATGAAGACATTGTAGCGTTCGAGTTAATGATGACGTATCTTTATTCCTTTTTATTTGACACAGGGCCCAAAAATTCGGACTCGCGCGACATATGGCCTTCATATATATTACAATGGGACCTTTACACCCTATTTCGGAGCAATGAAATCGATTCTCAATTCGATATGACCCTCTTGTGTTCGCTACTTAATAAGGCGTGTATGGGAGGCAGAATATAATATCCTAGTTATAATAGTCCGTGTTTTATTTTCTCGTCTCAGAAAGTAGCTTTTCCTTGTTTTATTTCTTAGCCTCTGCTTGTGGATTCGTCTGGGACTTGAGTTATACTACAGCCTATAATAAACGATCAAAATATTTTTTCAAGATGGTTCCGAAGATTACCCTTTCAAAAGTTTACCAGGTTACCAGACATTTAATAGTTACCTACCTACTTTATAATCACTTTCATGATACTCGTATGTAATTTTCACAATGAATTAAAAATTACCAATCTCCCACGTTCTCACTTAAAGATTTCCCGTGTGTTTTCTTAAACCATTCCTTTTATTACACTTTTCCGGTAATATTGGTGTCTAATGAAATTAAACGCCACGACGCGCGCTAATCAAATATCTACCCTACGCACTCGGTGTGTAATCTTCGTTTTAACTTTTCGTGCATACCTACCTACCTACAATTTTAATAATCTGATTTCAATTGGTAGATTTTTTTTAAATTTTAATCTCTCGAAAAATTTTAATAGCGGCTTCGTAGCTATTAATATTAAGATTGTAGACAATACTTCTAAACTTCATTGCTTTTTTAAACATTTGGAGATACAGCTCTATCAAAATGTTATTCCGTCGATATCTATCGCGTTAAATAAAACTTTTTCTACTCGTAGTACTATTAATTGAGTTATTTTAATGCACTAATAGTG